GTTGTCAACAAGTCATTAGGACTCATCTGATTATTTTTTATAGGGAAACCTGTCAATTAGACCCTCGAAGTATACCCAGAAAGTCATTTAAGCCCTCGAACTAAATAAACATTCAATTAAGTCCATCAACTTTACAAAAACAATCACATTTCTAATTTAGTAGGTAAAGGTCCGGTCATCCGGTTACATAGGTGATGTGGCAGTCAAAGTGTATATTTTAAAGTTTTTTCTTTTCTTTTTCCTTCTTTTTCTGAAATGTACTGCGCTGTTTAACTTCGCAGTTATCTTCAAAAAATCATTTGACTGCCTTCCCGGTTGAATTTTTAGCTGAAATTTGGTATGAGTAAACTAGACTTAATGAAGAAGATTCTCAAAAAAATTCATCAAAAAAGTCCACCGGGAACCGCCCCAATTAGCGACGGCCGGGCAGAACCTCCTATATAAGGGGTTAATTGAACACTTTAAGTCAGTTCAAGGGTCTATTTGACCCTTTAGCCTTTCTTCTTTCCCTCTTCTTTCCTCCTGCAACTTTATTAGAGTGGGATTTGTTCTAATTGTACATACTTGTTTTATATGGGCTAAGGGCTTCGTTTATTAGCATTAGTTATCTGTATAGTTATAAATAGAAGTACTCGGTCATATGTAAAGCATCGAAAACATACTAATCAATACATGACTATTTTCTTCCCTAAATTCTAAGATGGTATCAGAGCAGTAGGGTAGCAGCGCCGCACGTCCATCGGAAAACATGCGCAGAAGACACCAGCGTGCTCTAAGCCAGGATTCACGATGACAGACCCAACCTCGCTTTATTATTTAGGAGCCGGAGATCAGCCAGGCAATCAGATAACCCACGTCATTTTCAAGGGCGATAACTATGCCTCTTGGTCGCGGGCAATTGCTTTGGCATTAAAGGCTCGCCGGAAACATCCGTTTATCGACGGAACGCTGAAGAAACCTACCGATGAAGCCAGAGTGCCGGACTGGGAGACGAACAATTCCATGGTTGTCTCATGGTTGCTGCGATGCATGGACCCGGCGTTGGCGGCATCAATTACGTTCCATGACGAGGCACGAGCCTTGTGGGTGTAACTAGAAAAACGCTTCAGCGTCGCCAACGGGCCGCGGCTGCAGCAGCTTCGTGCCTCCATCACGGGCTGCCGGCAATCCAAAACAATGAGCGTGGATACCTATTATACTACGTTGATGGGATATTATGACGAACTGAATCGTTTGAAACCCCTACACGCATGCTCGTGTGGGTTATGCACTTGTGGTCTTGCTGCCAAATTCGCTGCCGACCGAGATGAAGAACAATTACATCAATTCTTGATTGGAATTGATGATGAAGTGTACAGGACGGTGCGGTCTAATCTACTCTCGCAAACCCCATTGCCGGATCTAAATAGAGCTTATCAGGCTTTCCTTCAGGAGGAGAATTCTCGGGCTCTTGCCCGTGGGAAGACTGCAGAAATAGATACACATGCTTTTGCACTCCAGACAGACCGACAAGGTAAAGGGCCGCGGCAGGATAAGAAGGGCCATGATGTTGGTACCTGTTTTAAATTGTTGGGCTACCCGTAATGGTGGGAAGATCGGAACAAGTCCAATGGTGGCAATACTGGCCGTAGAGGGGGGGTCAAGACTCACGCTGTGACTACTTCCGGCGCCGGATCTTCCTCCGCGGCCGAGATGATAGGGCTGCCCGAATTAAGCAAGGAGCAGGTTCAAGCTTTGCTAAATTTAATTAATGCCGAAACTCGCTCATTTGATCGTATGACGGGTAAGATTGACTGGATTATTGATACAGGCGTGTCTCACCATGTGACGGGTGAACTTTCGTGTTTGACTGATCGAACTATTATTGGCGCACGTCTGGTAGGGTTGCCAGACGGGCGAAGTGTTTCGGCTATTTTAAAGGGGCGGGTCCACCTCTCTAAAAATCTTATTTTGGAGCACGTTCTTTATGTTCCTGGATTAACATGTCATCTTATTTCTGTATCTCAATTAATTGATCAGTCCGCCTGTTTGGTTACTTTCACTGATTCATTTTGTGCTATCCAGGACCGTCCCTCGAAGAGCCTGATTGGAGCCGGTGAGAGGCGAGATGGGCTATACTTTTTCCGGGGGGGGGGGGGGGGGGTACCAGTGTTGTATGCCAATCACACGTCAGCATTATCTGTTTTTGAACTATGGCACCGTCGCCTGGGACATCCTTCTGATCGTGTGCTTAAGTTGTTACCTGCTATTAATGCTAGTTCCTCTATTAAACGTTTGAATAAACCTTGTGAGGTGTGTCCACAAGCCAAGCAAGTGCGTGACTCTTTTCCTATTAGTAGTAATAAAGCAAGTAGAATTCTGGAATTAATTCATTGTGATTTGTGGGGTCCTTACAAAACCCCATCTACTTGTGATGCTACTTATTTCATGACTTTAGTTGATGATTATTCGCGTGCTGTGTGGGTTTATTTGCTTCGTGATAAGAAGGAAGTTTATCGTTTTTTTCTCTCATTTATTACCATGATTGAAAAACAATTTGAAGTGCCTGTCAAGATTGTTCGTAGCGATAATGGTACGGAGTTTAAATGTTTGTTACCCTATTTTGAGCAACAGGGCATTCTGTTTCAAACATCGTGTGTGCACACTCCTCAGCAGAATGGTCGGGTGGAGCGTAAGCATCGTCATATATTGAACGTTGCTCGTGCACTCATGTTTCAGGCCAATGCTCCCATTTATTTCTGGGGTGAATGTGTGCTTACAGCGGTTCATGTTATTAATCGCACACCCTCGGGGCTTTTACAGGGTAAAACTCCTTACGAAATTCTTACTAGCAAACCACCGAATTTTCATCAATTGCGTGTCTTTGGGTGCTTGGCCTTTGCACATAATTTAAAAACTGGCGGGGATAAATTCCTTCCACGCAGCAGGAGATGTGTGTTCATTGGGTATTCTACCGGCAAGAAAGGGTGGAAGATGTTTGACTGTGCTACGGGGGACATTTTTGTTTCCAGAGATGTCCAGTTTCATGAGGATGTATTTCCTTTCTTGCACCCGCTTAATGACTCCTCTGGTGTTGCAACCGAACCCTCACCCGATGCCCCTATTATTTTTTATCCGGATGACGTGGTATCTTCGGACTCTGTTGTTGTTCCTGCGCAGGATATGGTCATCCCCCCGGCTGCCACTACATCTGATGGTTTGGTTCTTGGCCGTGGGCTTCGTTCTAAACGACCGTCGGTCTTACTCCGGGATTACGTCGCACATCATGTTCAGAATATTAGCCCATCTCGTCCGCCACCCTCTGACAGCTCTTCAGGTATGCGTTATCCTATTAGTCACTATGTTTCTTGTGATAAGTACTCTACCCGTCATCGTGCATTTCTTGGAGCTATTCTTGCAAGTCAGGAACCTCGTTCATTCAGGGAAGCTATGACAGACCCCGGTTGGCGCAGTGCCATGCAAAGTGAAATACAAGCTCTTGAAAATAATCACATGTGGGCCATTGAACCCCTGCCCCATGGTAAAAAGGCCCTCGGATGCAAATGGGTCTACAAAATTAAATACAAATCTGATGGCACGGTTGAGCGACTCAAAGCCCGTTTGGTTATGTTTGGGAACCACCAGGAGGCTGGCATTGATTACACAGAAACTTTTGCTCCCGTGGCCAAAATGGTTACGGTACGTCTTCTTTTAGCAATAGCTGCTGCCCCGAACTGGGAACTGCATCAGATGGATGTCCATAACGCTTTTCTTCATGGAGATTTGGCTGAAGAGGTCTACATGCGACCTCCACCTGGTTTTTCCCCACAAAGACCGGGACTTGTGTGTCGTTTGTGCAAATCCTTATATGGCCTCCGCCAGGCTCCAAGGTGCTAGTTTGCTAAGCTTGCTTCTTCTCTCAAGGCTTATGGGTTCACACAATCTTATTCTGATTACTCTCTATTTTCTATGAGCAAGGGTGCCGATCAGCTGCATGTCCTTGTCTATGTGGATGACTTAATTATTGCAGGGAATAATTCTGTTGCTATATCTCATTTTAAATCTTATTTGAATACTTGCTTCCACATGAAGGATCTAGGTGTTCTCAAATTTTTTCTTGGGATCGAGGTGGCTCAGAGTACCGCTGGCATATTTCTTTGCCAACGTAAATATATCTTAGACATCATTTCTGAGACGGGACTTCTCGGTGCTAAACCCGCTTCGTTTCCCATGGAGCAAAATCATTCCTTGGCTCTTGCTACTGGAGATCTATTGAATGACCCGGAATCTTACCGACGACTAGTGGGTCGTCTTATCTATTTATCTTTTACTCGTCCGGACTTAGCATATGTGGTCCACATTTTGTCTCAGTTTATGCAGGCTCCGAGGCGTGAACACTGGAATGCAGCTCTTCGTGTTGTCAGATATCTCAAAGGTTCCTCCGGACAAGGAATTTTACTAAGCTCTTCTTGTGATTTGACACTTACCGGATGGTGTGATTCTGATTGGGCTAGTTGTCCGCTTACTCGACGATCTCTCTCTGGGTGGCTGGTGTTTCTTGGTGACTCTCCTGTCTCTTGGAAGACCAAGAAACAACACATTGTCTCCCGTTCCTCCACTGAAGCCGAGTACCGTTCCATGGCGGCTATCACCGCAGAATTGAAGTGGCTAAAGGCCCTTCTTCTTCATTTTGGCATTACCCATCCGCAGCCTATACCATTATACTGTGATAGCCGTTCTGCACTACATATTGCACACAATCCGGTTTTCCATGAACGTACCAAGCACATTGAGGTAGATTGTCACTACATCCGGGATGCACTTCAGGAGGGCTTAATTTCGACTAAACATGTTTCTACTACCGATCAGCTGGCAGACATATTTACAAAGGCTCTCGGCAAACGACAATTTCTTTATCTCTTACGCAAGTTGGACATGTTTGATCCACGCGCTCCAACTTGAGGGGTATTAGAGTGGGCTTTGTTCTAATTGTACATACTTGTTTTATATGGGCTAAGGGCTTCGTTTATTAGCATTAGTTATCTGTATAGTTATAAATAGAAGTACTCGGTCATATGTAAAGCATCGAAAACATACTAATTCCCTAAATTCTAAGAAACTTTGTTCTTCCCTAGACGTTTCTCCGGCTGAGCTATGAGATACGTACTTTCTTCTTTTTTCCCTTCCGCCAGCCATTTCTCTTCTCTTCGTTTGCTTCTTTCGTTATCCTCTGTTTCCTTCCTTGTTAGTTGTTCCTTTCGCCGGAGGTGTTCGACGGAGATGCGCGCCGGAGGTGCTCACCAAAAATTCGATCTCGTCTCCTAGCTCTGGTCACTTTCTTCTTCTGCCCCGTTCTCCCTCTACTTCTTTCTGCCCAACCATCTCCAACTTCCACATCCCCTTCTTTCCTCTGCCCGGTTTGAGCAGATTGGTCATCCGGAATCTACCGTCCATTTCTTCTTCTTTCTTCTGCCTGGTTCGAGGTCATCAATTGTTGCCACCTGGTCACCTTCTCGAGCTAATTCTCACCGCCACCGACAAAGACTGTCTCCAACGACGTCGCATCAGGATTCAGGAGCTCAAGAGATCCACCGCCATAGCCGCCCTCCTCGCCGGAGTTCCTCACATGTAAGAAGAAGAAACAAAATATTTGTAGCAAATGGCGTGGAAGAGGAAAGAAAAAAGGGGAGGAGAATTTAAGAGGGATTGGTAGAAGAGAAGCAGGGCTCGGGTAGAAGCAGGGAGAAAACGTTTGAGTTAGAAGAAAGAAAAAAATGGAGAAAACGTTTGAGTTAGAAGAAAGAAAAAACGGGGAAAATGGGGAAAAAGGGAAAAAAGAAGAAGTCCAAAAATGACATTTGGATGCCATGTCACCACACTCACGGGCGCAAATTATACGATGGGATCATCACACGGTGAGCACGGTGCTCCAAGCCCAAAAACGACACAGTTTTGCAATTTAAAAAAAACACGGGTGAATAGTAACTCGCGTGAACAGTACACGCATGAACAGTAACTATTTTTGTATTTTTTCTTGTTCGAGTAGCAGAATGATATAACTTGTGTGTAAAGAAATGTAACTTACGTTAATAAGAAATGTTACTGCAAGCAAGTCAAAATGTAACTTGTCTAAAACATTGATTTCAATGTAAACAATAAAAAAAAGAAATGTAATTGCTTAATTGTTTTAGCTAAATAGTGAATATGTTTAAAAGAAATACGGAGTATTTTTTTCCAATAAACTGTCTTTTTTTGCAAATAAAAATTTGATTTTTTTTTTCAATAAAGGAGGTTTATTTTGTGATGTAACTCGTGTTATGGAAAATGTAACTCGTGTTGATAGAAAATATAAGTCATGTTTACACAAAATGTAATTTGCTAAGACAAGTCCAAATGTAACTCGTGTACATGATGATGTAAATCACGGTAAAAAGATGTAACTCGGGAACAAAAAATGTAACTGTGTATATTTTCAAATGTAATTTGAGCCAAATCAAAATATAATTCCTTCTTATTTTCTTGCTTCAGACTTGAAATCAATTTCAAGTGTTATAGAAGTATTATTCGTCCTTGAAGATTGAGCTTTCACATGGTAGTGGGTTCACTTGGAGTAGTAGTTCAAATCGCATGAGCACAATATTGCTTTTACTGGAGTTGTTCACAGAATTGTATATACCTCTCTGATCTACTCGTATTGCTTAATAACTAAGTCGGCCGCACCAGTTATCCCAAGCGAATAAGAGTTGATTGCTTTTTAATTAATAAAACTGTATCGTTTGGATGTGGGAGCAGGGTGCTCATCCTGTGGTGATACCACGGTATACGAACTCACTCACGGGTTAACCGAGAAATAACCGGCTAGATTAGGAAATTGAACTTTTTGGTATAGTTCATGGACTTTTTATACTTCGAAGGTTTATTTGACAGTTTTCCTTTTTTTATAAGTAGACTTATTTATATGACACTTTATTAAGTACATGACCTCATGTGATTTTATAATAGTAGAAGTTCTAATTTGATCCTTTTCGATCTCCGTAGAGAGCTATAGGTAACATGGTTTACAGATATTTAGCACATTGACTAAAAAGTATTCATTGAGTTTAGGTTCATGGGTAGCATTACACGTTTATACCCTAATATGACTCCAAACCACAGCTCTGCATTACGGAATTCATTTATACACGTTTATACACGTACATGGTTTGCAATTTTCTTTCTCCATTAATCAGGAAGAGCCGGGCAGAACATTAGCTACTAATTAATCAAAATTTTCAAGCTTTAAAACAGCAACTTATATGTATTCTGTATTTAGTTCACAAATCAGCAACTTAAGATCATAAAGAGCATTTCAAATAACCATTATTGGTCAAGATTTTGTGATAAAAACCTACCACTTGAGCAATAAAAAATGATCAAGCCCAAAACGAACAATTTCAGATACTCGTGGACAAATAATGAAATGCAAATCAATGAAATATGAGTCAAAATTTCCCAAACTTTGGGACTATATATGCTTAAAGTATGAAAATGAACATATAAACATCGATCCCTAGCTTAGAGAAAATAAGCAGAAAATATTAGCATGAATCACAAACAAGGAAATATACACCTTAAATTTTTACCATATGCCATATTAAATTTTAGTTAGACAATAGGAACTCTACCAAAATATATAAATGTAGTGAATTTACCTAAAAACTAGAAACTGGTTTGGCCTAGGCCTTACTAGCAATTCACGCCTTTCACAAGGAAGAAGCCCTCACTTTTTGCATTCTTCTCATACAATTTGTAAAAGGGGGGAATTTACCAGTGAAAACGAAATTGATTTCACCTAGCTCTCACAAGTTGTTCAAGGCTTTCACATATCAATATCATATTACATTGTCAACATGGAAATTAAAATATTATTTGTCGATTCGGTTATATACAATACAATTATAATTAATAAGTAATTACTTAGCTTGCTCAATAACACACATGTAGTTATAAATTTTCAGTTACTTATAAGTTATAACAGGTCAAATTCAATTAACCTTTTATTAATACGTAACATATATGCACAAGTATATATTTCCATACACACAAGCACAATTTGTTACAATACATCCCTCAAGGCCGTGAAATAGATCGAACCACAATTGAGAAAAAAGATCGAAATACTTAATTACGATAATTATGAGCATTTCAAAGCAGATTAGCATAGCATTTGTGGTTGCCGCCATTGCTATTATTCCTTTATTAGCATCTGCGTGCATTTCATTAGACGCAGCCGATGTGGCCGACAATTATCCGATAGGAGATTACGATGAAAACCTTGTACGGACAATGCGCCAGTGCATTAAGGATGCGTTGACTCAGCGCGATGGTGATTGCGTTGACGATATGGATGCTATCAAAGAATATTGCATAACATATAGGAAATTAATCTGTGATAAATTTATGAAATATGATGATGCTATAAAAGCGAAATGCTAATCTTCAAAATGTTTGTTTTAATTTGTCGATCTTCTTATGATATAGGATGATCTTATGTATCACAGTTTGAGCGAAATAAAATTAGTAACTTCCTCAAATGTTCTATGTATATGCAAGTATGCAACCACGGCAAAATATATCATACACCCGGATGTACCGTGTGATTTGGTACATCCAGGTATTTTTGTAATTACTTATAAACTTGAGGTGGTTAATTACGGAGCATGGCATTTGCTACCCTTCCTTGTCGCTGCTCTTCCGTTTGTTCTTTTTCCTTTTCTTAATAGTTACGAGTAATTTACACTTTTTTCTTATCCACTTATCATTTGGTTGCTCCTTCTCGTTTTTCCTTTTTACCTTTTTATAGTTCTCGTTTTTCTGTTTTCTTATCTTTTAATTTTGAACTTTAAGTTTTCTATGTTTAAGTTTTTATTTTCTTTTTCATGCTTTGGTTTTTCTTTTTTCTTTTCCTTTAATTTTGAACTTTATTTTTTCTAACTTTAACATTTCTTTTTCTTTTTTCTGCTTCATTTGTTTCTTTTTTCTTTTTGTATATACTTTTGTCTTCCGGTTCTCTAATTTTGAACTCTTACTTTTTTAATTTTTATGTAATTTTTCTACAATATTTTTTCATGCAATTCTTTCAAAAATTCATATTGAATAGCAATTCAATAAAAACATATACTTTTCTCACTCTTCTATTAAAAGCTCCAATCTTCTAAATAATTATGAATATATTATTTAATTTAAATGTGCATTGATAAATGAATATACACAAATGAATATTTGAACACATTAGAGATTTCAATTGAACTTTTGAATTTTTTCGATGCTCATTTTGTAAGTTATGAATGCTCATCTGGTATTGGTTAAATGCTCATTTGTAAGTTACATATGCTCATCATCTGGTATTGGTTAAATGCTCATTTTAAAATGTCATATCAATGCATATTTTAAAATGTCATATCAATGCATATTTCAAGTCATATTAGAGATCATGATACTCAATTAAAACGTTTTGATGCTCACTCAACTAAAAAAACTTATGATTGTCATACTAATGCTCATTTTATAATTTATGAATGCTCAATCGGTACTCAATTGCACGCTTCTAATACTCAATAGAGGAGGTTTGATGCCCAATGAAAAAATGTCTTCATGCTCAACTAACAAAGCTTATTATTTTCATATTAATGCTTATTTTGTAAGTTACATATGCTAAATAAAAGTTCATTAATGCTCATTTAACAGAAAGCGTTATTTTTATCTCAATATAGGAGGTTTGATGCTTAATGAAAATATCGTGACGTCCAACTAACAAACCTCATGATTTTCATATATATGCTCATTTTGTAAGTTACATATGCTCAATTGGTACTCATGTTATGCTCATTTTTAAAATGTCATAACAATGCATATTTTAAAAGTACCATATTATATTCGATTCACATATTGAAATTCATATGAATTGATTATAGTTATAATTTAATGAGTTTTTATAAAAGAAAAAAAAAAGAAAAAAAAGAAAAAAGAAAGTGAATTACAATATATGAAATTGATATCGCATTACTCATCATTCGACTCTTAATGCTCAATAGAATACATCTGATGCTCATTAACAGGCGATTTGAACTCAATAAAAACGTCTTGATGCTCAATCGGTACTCAATTGCACGCTTTTAATACTCAGTAGAGGAGGTTTAATGCTCAATGAAAAATGTCTGTATGCTCAACATATTAATGCTTATTTTGTAAGCTACATATGCTCAATCGATACTGATATTATGCTCATTTTTTATGAAGCATGACGTGCACTTGTCGTGGTGTGCACTCAAAATAATAAATACAATACAACACTAATACGTAGTATAGTGAAGTAAGGTTCGTATCCACAGGGAAAGGAATACTTTTCTTTTTATAGAACCAGTGACAAAATGGGGGGTTTTAGTTTGATTTGGTTTAATAAATTAAACACGAAGATGAACGAGTTATGTGGTTTAATTAATGAGAAGAAGACTTGGCTTTGCTTTTATCCACTTAATGAAATGTTCGTCGATCCCGGTTATATCTTTAACTATCTTCCTCTCGAATACTCAATCGAGGAGTATATCCAGTTCATCGAGGGTAGTTATTAATAACGAGACGCGTTCATTAATAAAACTTACTACCGAGTCAATATAGAACAAGCGCCGTATATTAACTTGATAGTAGCAATAAAATCAAGATGAAAACGATTGAGATTGATAACCTCAACACAAGCGGTTTATTGGTTTAATCAATATAATTAATTCCCCTTGGCTTATTAATCATGAGAAGCATGCATTAACAACCCAAGTTTACTACCATTGAAAGAACCGAATTAATAACAAGCGTATTAACCGATTGATTCTAGTAATAATTAATATATGAAACAAAACTAGTTGATCCTTTAAGTAATGTTCAAAATATTAATATGAAATATGACTAGGAATTAATTAATACTCAAGGAAGAATATTAAAGAAGATGAATCCTACTATAGTTAATATCAAGATGTTAACTAATTGTCATCTTAGTAACACTCCCCAATATTAACATAGAGGAAGAAATAGCTATTACTATAATTAATGTCAAGATGTTAACTAATTGTCATCTTAGTAACACTCCCCAACATTGATATAGAAATAGTATTTAAAGGAAGAATTAATATTCAAGGAAGAAGATTAAAAAGAATAACTCACAACTTACAAATTCATTAAGCTTCAAAGTAGCAAAACCAAGATGGAAGAGTTTAGCTCCTCATTTGGAGACTAAACATGATAGAAAATATAAAGAAAACACTAATCTAAACTGAGCTAAAGAGTATATGTGAATTGGTGATTTTATTGTGAAGGAAAGGGGTGTATTTATAGGCTTTTGGGAGCTGCAGGGTCTGATACCCGACCGGGTATATAGGATACCCGACCGGGTATCTTAGGAAATTGCCCAGAAAGCCACTTTTCTGGGCATACCCGATCGGGTAAGGGTATATACCCGATCGGGTATGTGACAAATCTTTATGAAAATTTGCTCCCACGATCATTTGTCTTCGGATTTGATTTGGACAGTCGAATCAAGCAATTACCCGATCGGGTATAGGCAATACCCGACCGGGTACATGAGTATTTTTTCCAAATCAAAATCTTTCTTGCCTCCTTGCACTTTCCTTGATCTTTTAAGGTCCAATCTTGATCCCTTGGATGATTTTTGACCTGTTTAGCTCAGAAAAATCCTAATCTAACTAAATTACAAATAAAAAATGAAAATAAAGTATTACACCAAAAGTGTGTAATTTTCACAACTAGAACTAATAAAAACTAGTTAAAAATAAAAACATACAATCGGAAATTACATGAATATCAACTCCCCCACACTTAGCTTCTTTACTCGTCCTCGAGTAAAGTCAAATGTTTAATAGTTCCAAGTCCTCAAGAGTTTAACAATCAGCAAGAAGAAGCAAAAGACCACCAAGGATAAAACTTGAGTTTTACATTGAGTGTTTAGCTCAGAGAACAATATCTTCTTGGGTTTCATGGCCTTCTATGCTCATCTCTTTTCTTCTCCTCTTTTCATGTTCAAGAGATTAAATGATGTCCTGTAAAAACAAATATATCTCTCATATCTCTCATTTTGCCTAGGAGCCTTTTCAGGTTTTGATCCTAGCAACTCTTTTTATTTTTCCATCCTTTCCACTCACTCATTTTTATAAGCCCTTTTTGCTTAGATTGCCCATTTTTGGGTTTTCAACCTAACTAGCATTTCTTTTTTTTTTTTTTTTTTTTTTTTTGTTTTTTTTTTTTTTTCTTACTTTTTTTTTTGTGAAGAAAATAATGCCAGTTACAAGGTATCAAACTTAAGTACGTATCAATGAGTGACTCCCCCTCACTTAGCTCGAAGCACTGTCCCTAGTGCTCGTCTCCGTCATGACCGGGCTGAAACGGACATCCTCGTAGCCTTGAATTGTCCCTTTGCATTTGAACTTTCGGCCCTATCCCTCTTTGGTGCCATTGATAGTATTTTTGGAACTTGAATTCGGATTTCGGGGGTAGGGTTTCGGGTTTGTGTAAATATGTAGGGAGATGAAGTTTTTTTGGGTGTTGGATTGTAGAGGAGAGTAAGGGGAGTGTTTTGGTGGTGGTTTGGGTGGATTTGGGTGAGTAATGAGGGTGTAATTGAAGAAATAAGGTTTGGGAATGGAGGGTTTTTAGAGAGGAGGTTTGAATTTGGGGAGGAATTTGGGGAAGATGACTGATTTTGGGCGTTCGGATTGGGTTCAAAACTTGTGTACCCGACCGGGTAGCCCGACATACCCGATCGAGTATGGTCGTTTTTGCTCTTGTTCCGGAGTCGGGCCCGATCGAGTAGGGGTGTTACGCGATCGGGTAAAATGCGCCGTGGAAATTTCCAGCCTTTAAAATTAATTCACCCGACCGGGTATATGGGTGTACCCGATCGGGTATTTCGCTGTTTTTTCAAAAAATGCTCCAGGGGTGGCGTACCCGGTCGAGTATTGGGTGTACTCGATCGGGTAATTTGCGACGAACTAAATTCCAGCCATTTTCTTAAAATATACCCGACCGGGTTCAAGGTATACCCGATCGGGTATCTGTTGATTTTTAAACCTGCCCTCGATCGGGTATCGGGTACGTGACCCAAGAAATGCTTTAATAAGAGGTACCCGACCGGGTGGGGTGTCGTTACCCGACCGGGTACTTCACCCTGGAGTTTGATTTCGTTCATTTTTGGCATGGATCAGACCGGGTAAGTGATTATGCCTGATCGGAGGTTTTTCCAGGCTTTGAAAACCTGATTTTCCCTTATCTTCTTTTGAGAATTTTCCTCCCGTTCTCTCAAAGTTGACATTCGAAAACAAGAATTTGAAAAGAAAAATTAAAAAATGCGTACCTTGGCTTGGGTTGCCTCCCAAGAAGCGCCTTAGTTAACGTCGCGGCACGACGTTTTTATTTTTTTTATTTTTCATTTTAAGTGGGATCATGAACATCCCTTTTCTCCTGCTTCAAGGCCCTGTTTGGCCGTGTTTCAATTTTATTTT